CTAATTTTATGTAATCCATTATTGAATTTTTTGAAAATTTGTGATTTTTTTTTTTTAATCCATGATCGAATTTTTTTTTGTAATCCATGATAGAATTTTTTGAAAATTTGTGATTTTTTTTTTAATCCATGATCGATTTTTTTGAAAATTTGTTATTTTTTTTTTTAATCCATATTATTCAAATAGAAAATGAGAGAGATGATGATTCTGATGCCACCCTATCCCAGCCATATTATTCACATATCGAGTCCCAACATCAACAGTGTAGGGATGAGCACGAAATACTGTAAATTAAATGCTGAATGGCGGTTCATGCAGGGAAAAAACATATCAATATTCGCATATTCATTCAAAAACATGAAAATTCTTAATGGAGTACCCTCATTTTTTATTGAATTCCTAAAAAACAATATTTATAATGAATATTAATAATTTTTTCGAATTTTTTTTAAGCTTTATTCTGATCGATTCACCCGATTCCCGATCCGGATCGCCGATTCGCCGATCCGGATCGATTTTTTGGAAGCCCAATCCGGGTCACCGATCCGTTTTTTAAACCATTGGTTTAGAGCATTGGCTTTATATAAGTTTTTCCCTTTTTTTAGCCCAATTAACATAGGCCGTTTATTTTGGTGAGATGCTTAGATCTAGGCCTTAGAAGGATTTTTTCATTTCCAATTTTTTTGGATGGCTTTATTATCATTTAGATAGACAATGTTAAAAAGGAAAAATGATTTTGAATTTATAAATGCTAAGATCTTGAAATTCACAAAATGAATGGTCTAGATTCGTTTTTGGAGGGAACTCATTTTAACCATATCTAGGGTTCAAATTGAACTTTTTGTTTTTTTGAGGGATTGATTATTGAGATGAAGAGAGTGTGTGTGTGTAAAATTTGGGGTCATACAAATACCACAAACATGATTTCTAGAAGTGTCATTGCATTGGATTACTTCTTTTTATCCAACCGCCCATTCATAATTGAGGCCTAAGATTGCCTCAATCACAATATCACATCTCTACACTTATTTTTTTTTTTTTTTTGTTACAAACTATTTTAACATCAATTTTTACGTCCAATCCTTTACTAAACTCGCACTAGCGAAAAATATATAAAAATATATTTTCAATAAAATAAACTGACCAAAATACCCTTGAAAGTTTTGAGGGGTATTTTGGTCATTATATTTTATCAAAAAATTATTTTTTATAGGTGTGCCCCAATGAGAAGATGGCATGTACCAAATTTTTATTCATACAATTTATAATAAAAAAAAACTAAAAATAAAATACTTTGAGACATTGAATCTAAAATCAAAATTGGACGGCGTATGGGAGGAGATATGGAAAGACTAGGGGCTCGAATGAGGAAAAAAAACAAAGAGATATGTTTCTATACTTTCCCTACAATGTGCCAGATATATACTTTCTTATCAAGCCGTCTAATTTTGATCTAGTGAGCTACTGACTGTTTGATCTAAATCCGATGTTTTTAGAATTTAATTTTTTTTTACAAATTGTATGAATATGATATTTGGTATATGTCATCTTCTCAATGAGGCGTACCTAAAACAAAATATTAAAAAGAAATTTTTTATAAAATATAATAACTAAAATACCCCTTGAAAATTTCTAAAGTATTTTGTTTTATTCAAAATATTTTTTATTTTTATTTTTTAAATATTAGTTTTAAAGAAGAGTAGATACTTAAAATTTGGTGTCAAAATATTTTGTAAAAAAATAATTAAAATAAAATAATATAAAAATGTGACATTATGATTGGGATCATCTCAGCCGTCCATTCATAATGGACGGTTGGATAGGGGGAAGTATACAAGTAGGGGAAGCAGCTTGTCCTCTATATGTATCGAATCCGATCCCTCCCTCCACAAAGCGTATCTTTCTCTCTCCTAAACTTTTTCGCTCTTTGAATAAGATGCTACATGTGTAAATCTCTCTCCCTCTTCCACTCTCTCTCTCTCCATATATAATCCTCACTCCGTCTTCCAATCGTGCCTTTCTCTCTCCCTAATCTCTCCCTCTCAATAATAAAGACTCCTCTTTCAATAGAGCCTATATTTAGCAATATATTTTATATCTCTTTCCATAAGAGCCTATTATAAAGCCTATTATATGTAATTTTGGCAATATAATTTGTATTTCTATGTATAAAAAAAGAATATGATTTATACAAAGGAAAAAAAAAATTATCACTTTCAATAAGTGCCTACCATATGTAACGTTAGCAGTACAATTTATTTATTTTATATATAAAAAAGAGTATAAATTATACAAAGAAAAAAAAAAAAAGTTTTATAGAAAGAAAAGGCCCATCAAGTGACCAAGAATATATTATTTGAACGAGTTATATTTTAGAAAAGGATATATATGATATATATAAAAATTATTTAGAGAGTAAAAATTAACATCACATGGATTACGTAAAAGAGGGTTAAAAATGAAAATTTCACGATGTAAAATTACGTATAAGATACTGAACGTCTATAAATAAAAAAATTACGTAAAAGAGGGTTAAAAATGAAAATTTAGCTATGTAAAATTGAGACCAACAATATTATATGCGACCAAGAATATATTATTTGAACCATCTATATTTTAGAAACGGATATAGATGATATATATATAAAAAAATAGAACCATCTATATTTTAGAAACGGATATAGATGATATATAAAAAAAAATATCTTATAGAGTAAAATTAACGTGACATGGATTACGTAAAAGATAGTTTACGTAAAAGATACTTAAAAATGAAAATTTCGCCATGTAAAATTGAGACCAACAATATTATCAATAAATGTTATCGATTGATTATAGATGATAATATATATAAAAAATATCTTATTAACGTCACATGGATTACGTAAAAGATAGTTAAAAATGAAATTTTAGTTATGTATAATTGAGACCAACAATATTATCGATTGTTAAGACCAACAATGTTATCAATTGATTATAGATGATATCAGTGTTTAAAAAAACGTCGAGTCGAACCGGACTCGCCCGGTTCGACTCGGGAATCGCCATGGACGGATCGAATCGACGAAAAAAACGGAAATCGTCCGGTTCTAGAGAGAACCGGACGATTATTATTATTATTTTTTTTTTTGTAATACTTGATTGAATTGTTTTTTTTTTTTTGTAATCCATGATCGAATTTTTTTTTTT